ATATTTTTGTAGACCCCTAATAATAATTTAGTCCCTTACTAAGGAGTAGATCTTTTTTTGTAATAATTTAGAGCCCTTACTAAGGCGTAGATTTTTAAATAATTTAGACCCGTAACTAAGGCGTAGTTTTTAAAATAATTTAGACCCGTAACTAAGACGTAGTTTTTAAAATAATTTAGACCCCTGACTAAGTCGTAGATCTTTTAAATAAATTAGACCCGTAACTAAGGCGTGGTTTTTAAAATAATTTAGACCCCTGACTAAGTCATAGATCTTTTAAATAAATTAGACCCCTGACTAAGGCGTATATCTTTTAAATCTTTTTTGTTTTTAATAATGTATTTATAGCACTTGACGTTTTAAAGACATTATTCAATATTTTTTTGTATTTTTAAAAATTGTTCTTACTTTTTTAATCACGTTTTCTGTACCCCTAAAAAATTCGTAGAAATTTGTGTTCATAGGCTTATATTCTGTTATGGTACAATTATAAAAGGTAACAGCAAATCCTAGCTGATTTGATTCCAACGTAACAGGAAAATTGGGAACGTATACAATTCTTTATTAAATGTTCTCCCGTATTCAATTTACTCAATCTGCCTGCTGGGAAAGTTTGAGGAAGCAAATCTTTCTTTAAGGAATAACTCGTTATTCTGAGCATTTTCATATGTGTTACACATATATATGGCAATGGCTCCATTATAGGAAAAATGTGGAACCGAAGAAATATAAATTTAATAGATTTTCATTCATGTTTTTCAATTTTATTTTGCGGATTCGAAAATATTACATTTTCAAAATAAATATAATTTGTTTGTTTACATTTTTCTGTCAAATGACGTTGAAATTGGTATAACTTACAATAACATTTCCACATTTCAGAGAGTAATATTTAACCCATTATGCCACACCGACTTCAGTATTTTTTTCTCTACTATGAAATGTCCCATATTACATTTTATATTTTTGGATTATGGCACTAATAAATCACATTATGCCATCTATATGGCAATATACTCTACTGTTCGTGTAATACACATGGCGCCATCTACACGTCATCGCAGATAAATAAAATATTGTTGATAATACCGTATTGGTATTAAAACATGTAAACATGAGAGCGGCATTACCATCTTGTTGATTGTAAACACTAGACAACAAAAATAAAACGATGTTTAAGGAATTTTTTTTAATGTTCTAGCCGTACTTTTACGTAGATATTTCGGGGTTTCAGAGGATAAAATTCCGCTCAGTGGAATATTTTTAATATTGGTGGAGGACTTGAAAAAGTCCGCATAAAAATGCATACTTTGTCAAACCAATGTGGCAATAACTAGGCATTCATAGTTTCTAGAGGATAAAAAACCTTCTTGCAGAATATTTTCAACATAGGTCAATGGTTAGCCGCACAATATCAGTACAGTACATAATATCAGTAAATAAAAGTCATTAAGTGATGACTCAGTTTTTGTTTTTCCTTTTGAGTCGAGCTTAACCCTTTGTGGCCCAATGTTGCCCACAGGCAACAAAATGTTTTAGAGTTTATATTTAATATACATCTAGTAGATATATATTATTTGGATTTCGTATGTCAAGTCCTGATTATGGGCTACACATATCAAAAGTAAAATCAAGAAAATTCCAAATTGTAGTAAAGTTATGAGCTTTTCAATATAGGGAAGAGGGTACAATTGTGTACAGTACTAATTTGTGTATACAGTTCAAATTTTTTAAATCGCTTCGTATACAAATTGTACGAATTCTGCCATCAGAATTATTTTTGATTCTTGTAAAAATGAATATAGAGAATTATTTAAAATTATTTTTTGGTTGAATTTGCATTTGGTTTTCTTGATATTGGACTTTAATTTTTCCGAAAGAATGTACTGTATCTCCCGAATGCAAGGATGTAGCGATGTCAAATTTTGTGCATATCCTATTTAGGATAGTTGTATTAAATCTACGAACAGAAATTTGTTCTAAGATAGCGGGAAAAATATTCGGGGCTCAAAGGGTTAACGATCGAACGATTTAACAATTTGGTTTGTCATAGCTTCGATATAAAGTACCGGAACCATTTTCGGTATTTTGAAGGATTTCGCTCAAATTTCGCACCTAAATCACTGTAAGTTTGTATACCCGGCTTCTTGAAGTGTGAAAAATATCCTTGGAAAAGATTTTTGTTATTGGTCCATGTTTCGACTTATGAAGGAGGTCCCATCTCATTGTCGGCATTTTGAAAGTTTTAGCCGCATTTTTCCAACCGAAGTTGTTGTGAAAAGGTAAAAAAGTAATCTTTGTAGAAGATTTTCGTTATCGGTCCGAATTTTGACATAGCCTCCATATAGTAAAAAACAATTTCCGGTATCTTGTTTTATACAACTTCAACGATAATATCGAGGGGAGGAAAATAAACTATCAAGGAATTCATTAGTAGCGGCGAGCGAAAATAAAACAACACTAAGTCACTTTGTTTTTATGGCAAGGAGTGTTCAATTTCTAGAATGAGAAATGACCGATTTAAATGCTTCTTAAATGACGCCATTTGCCCATAGAGGGTGCTAGGCCCGAATAACGATAATGATTACATTTCCAAAGAGACGTGCTGCTTGATAGTGCAGCACCTATTTAAAACTATATATAACCATGAGACCAATAGTAAACAAGTACAGCGAGGGATAGTTGAAAAGATCTCTGAGTAGAGAGTTAAATAGTACGTGAACTGTTTAGAGGTTAAGCCCGACAATCCTGAATATCAATTATGGAAAATTTATCGTTATGATGGATTGCGTGCAATTTTTATACCCTTCACCACACTGTAGTACAGGGTATTATGTCTTTGTGCATATGTTTGTAACAGGCAAAAATAATCGAGATAGACCCATGGTTCCTTTTGAGAATATGCATAGAATCACTTTCTGAGTCCATTTATGCAAGTCCGTCCGTCTGTCCATGTTAAATTGTTAACAAAGTACAGGTCGCATTTATGATCCGAATTGGATGAAATTTGGCACAGCTCATTTGTTTGATCCAAGGATGAACTCTATTGAAATTGGGAAAAATCTGTTCAGATTTATATATAGCTCCCATATATATTTTCGTCCGATTTAAGGTAAATGTGGTACCAAAGTCTCTATATATCTTTCGATTTGCACGAAATTTGGTATAGCCTACTGAATTAGGTCTGCAATGATGTGTGCTAAGTTTCGTGAAAATCGGTTCAGATTTAGATATAGCTCCCATATATAATTTCACCCGATTTTATGTAAATGGTGCACCAAAGTCCCTGAAAATCATTTCATTTGCACGAATTTTGGCATAGCGTATTGAATTAAGCCTAGAATTGCGTGTGCTAAGTTTGGTGAAAATCGGTTCAGATTTAGATATAGCTCCCATATACAGTTTCGACCGATTTTAAGTAAATGGTGCAACAAAGTCCCTAAATAGCTTTCGATTTGCACGAAATTTTGGTACAGCGTACTGAATTAAGCCTAAAATGATGTGGGATAAGTTTCCTGAAAATCGGTTCAGATTTAGATATAGCTCCCATATATAGTTTCGGCCGATTTTAGGTAAATAGTCCACTAAAGTCCCTGGAAATCTTTTGATTTGCACCAATTTTGGCATAACGTATTGAATTAAGGCTAGAATGACGTGTGCTAAGTTTTGTAAAAATCGGTTCAGATTTAGATATAGCTCCCATATATAGTTTCGCCCGATTTTAAGTAAATGGTGCACCAAAGTCCCTATATATTTTTTTCGATTTGCACGAAATTTGGTATAGCCTATTGAATTAGGTCTAGCATGATGTGTGCTAAGTTTCGTGATAATCGGTTCAGATTTAGATATAGCTTCCATATATAGTTTCGCCCGATTTTTGGTAAATGGTGCACCAAAGTCTCTGAAAATCATTCGATTTGCACGAATTTTGGCATAGCTTGTTGAATTAAGTGTAGAATGATGTGTACACCTCCTATATATATTTTCGGCCCAGTCCGACCTTACTACTTTCCTTACGGTTTTTTTTTCGTAGCTACCTAGCACAAAATTCTGACATAGTCTCCACATAAAGATCCCGACATACATAGGACACTTTGAATGTACTTCTCATTTTGGAGGGTATATAAAGTTCGGTCTGAGGATATATACACTTTGATACGGCAAAAATGTGCCTCATCGAAATATTTGTTTTAAACTCTACATTTCTTTGCACGAAATACCTAGAAATCTAGATCATTTCTGAAGATGACACCCATCAATTCACTCCTTCGGTTTCTCCCCCTTAAACATTAAAACATATATTTCTAAAGAGCAACCTCTTCTGGTTCCTCTCCACAGATGGTCAACTATATGATAAAAAGATGTACCTTATGTAAAGCGGACAATAAAATCAGGGTGTCGTAATTTCATAGACCTCCGCAAACCATATGCCGGGGTTAACGTCTGCCGACTGACACCTTTTTTGTTAATTTGCAGGTTAGGGGTCTTAGACCATTGGCACAAGCCGCTTTATTAAATATTGACACAGCCTCTATTTTTTTTTTCAAATCACGTGATTTTGAATTAAACAACAAGAAATCTCAATAACAACAAATATATTAATTAGGTAAATAATTCACCTGAAAAAAAAACTGTCAACCCTGAAATCCAAATTCATATGGAAAATAATTGAAATGTTTTCAATTTTTTTTTGTGCAACAACCTCCGAAATATTCCCATCTGTCCCCACCATTATACAACACAACACAATTCTTAGCTCCCAGAGATGCTAATTAAATAAATTCCATGATCTTCTTCTCATAGGAGTACATCACTCCCTCGTCGATGTTTGTTTGCCTCAACGAATTCGGTGATAATTGAAAATGAAATTATTGACTAATTCACACCTGGAAGGGTTTTATGTGTGTGTTGGTTTTGTTTTCGGTAATTTGATAAAAACGCAAACTTTTTTGGAAATAAAAAAATCGAAATAATCAATAAAGAAAATCCCTTGTACTTACTTTGAGGTTTTTTGGTTCCATTCATGGCCGTGTTCAGCATATTGCCAATTTTCGTAAAACTCGATTGACGCATAAAGGCATGATGGCGCGGTGGCAATGGTGGCGGTGATGCCGGTGGTGGTGGCTCCGGTTCTAGTATGGGACTTTGTCGGCCCCATCGTCCCATTTTAAATGATTTGCTGCGAGAAACTTTTCCCTCACCAGTGTTGTTGTTATTATTATTGTTGTTGTTGCTGCTGCTACTGTTTACAATGTTGTTGTTGTTATTATTTTGGCTTATGGTATCAATGGCTTTGCCGTTACTTCGACTATTATTGATGATGGTGATATTGGTTTGTTGTTGTTGTTGTTCTTGGCCAAGGGACGCAATGTTGATATTTTTCTGTAAAAGAAATAAAAACGGGGAGAAGGGAAGGAAGTTAGAAATAACGATCAATTTAAATCTTTTTTTGTTATTTTAAACAAATATAATAAATAATAAAACAACACAATAAACATTAAAAATAAATTCCTATTTTTTAATAAACACAAATAATAAGGGGGTCAGATAAAGAAATTTTTAAATTAAACAAAATCAAAAAATAAAAAAATGAGTCGGAGGGAGGGGCGTAAATGGCTGCTAACAATTCTTTAAAAAATCCTCGCCTTTGGGCTGCTAAAAATTCTTTAAAAAATTCTCGCCTTTGGGCTGCTAAAAATTCTTTAAAAAATCCTCGACTTTGGGCTGCTAAAAATTCTTTAAAAAAAATCCTCGCCTTTGGGCTGCTAAAAATTCTTTAAAAAATCCACGCCTATTGGTGAGGTAACGCTTGCTAAAAATTCTTTAAAAAAATCCTCGCCTTTGGGCTGCTAAAAAAAATCCTCGCCTTTGGGCTGCTACAAAATCTTTAAAAAATCCTCGCCTTTGGGCAGCTAAAAATTCTTTAAAAAATCCTCGCCTTTGGGCTGCTAAAAATTCTCGCCTTTGAGCTGCTAAAAATTCTCTGGTAATGGTTGCTAAAAATTCTTTAAAAAATCCACGCGTATTGGTGTGGTAATGGTTGCTAAAATTCTTTAAAAAGTCCACGCCTATTGGCGTGGTAATGGTTGCTAAAAATTCTTAAAAAATCCACGCCTATTGGCGTGGTAATGGTTGCTAAAAATTCTTTAAAAAATCCTCGCCTATTGGTGAGGTAATGGTTGCTAAAAATTCTTTAAAAAATCCACGCCTATTGGTGAGGTAATGGTTGCTAAAAATTCTTTAAAAAATCCTCGCCTTTGGGCTGCTAAAACTTTTTTTAAAAAATTCTCGTCCTTGGTCTGCTAAAAATTCTTTAAAAAATCCACGCCTATTGGTGAGGTAATGGTTGCTAAAAATTCTTTAAAAAATCCACGCCTATTGGTGAGGTAATGGTTGCTAAAAATTCTTTAAAAAATCCACGCCTATTGGTGAGGTAATGGTTGCTAAAAATTCTTTAAAAAATCCACGCCTATTGGTGAGGTAATGGTTGCTAAAAATTCTTTAAAAAATCCACGCCTATTGGTGAGGTAATGGTTGCTAAAAATTCTTTAAAAAATCCACGCCTATTGGTGAGGTAATGGTTGCTAAAAATTCTTTAAAAAATCCACGCCTATTGGTGAGGTAATGGTTGCTAAAAATTCTTTAAAAAATCCACGCCTATTGGTGAGGTAATGGTTGCTAAAAATTCTTTAAAAAATCCACGCCTATTGGTGAGGTAATGGTTGCTAAAAATTCTTTAAAAAATCCTCGCCTTTGGGCTGCTAAATTTTTTTTAAAAAATTCTCGTCCTTGGTCTGCTAAAAATTCTTTAAAAAATCCACGCCTATTGGTGAGGTAATGGTTGCTAAAAATTCTTTAAAAAATCCACGCCTATTGGTGAGGTAATGGTTGCTAAAAATTCTTTAAAAAATCCACGCCTATTGGTGAGGTAATGGTTGCTAAAAATTCTTTAAAAAATCCACGCCTATTGGTGAGGTAATGGTTGCTAAAAATTCTTTAAAAAATCCACGCCTATTGGTGAGGTAATGGTTGCTAAAAATTCTTTAAAAAATCCACGCCTATTGGTGAGGTAATGGTTGCTAAAAATTCTTTAAAAAATCCACGCCTATTGGTGAGGTAATGGTTGCTAAAAATTCTTTAAAAAATCCACGCCTATTGGTGAGGTAATGGTTGCTAAAAATTCTTTAAAAAATCCACGCCTATTGGTGAGGTAATGGTTGCTAAAAATTCTTTAAAAAATCCACGCCTATTGGTGAGGTAATGGTTGCTAAAAATTCTTTAAAAAATCCACGCCTATTGGTGAGGTAATGGTTGCTAAAAATTCTTTAAAAAATCCACGCCTATTGGTGAGGTAATGGTTGCTAAAAATTCTTTAAAAAATCCACGCCTATTGGTGAGGTAATGGTTGCTAAAAATTCTTTAAAAAATCCACGCCTATTGGTGAGGTAATGGTTGCTAAAAATTCTTTAAAAAATCCACGCCTATTGGTGAGGTAATGGTTGCTAAAAATTCTTTAAAAAATCCACGCCTATTGGTGAGGTAATGGTTGCTAAAAATTCTTTAAAAAATCCACGCCTATTGGTGAGGTAATGGTTGCTAAAAATTCTTTAAAAAATCCACGCCTATTGGTGAGGTAATGGTTGCTAAAAATTCTTTAAAAAATCCACGCCTATTGGTGAGGTAATGGTTGCTAAAAATTCTTTAAAAAATCCACGCCTATTGGTGTGGTAATGGTTGCTAAAAATTCTTTAAAAAATCCACGCCTATTGGTGTGGTAATGGTTGCTAAAAATTCTTTAAAAAATCCACGCCTATTGGTGTGGTAATGGTTGCTAAAAATTCTTTAAAAAATCCACGCCTATTGGTGTGGTAATGGTTGCTAAAAATTCTTTAAAAAATCCACGCCTATTGGTGTGGTAATGGTTGCTAAAAATTCTTTAAAAAATCCACGCCTATTGGTGTGGTAATGGTTGCTAAAAATTCTTTAAAAAATCCACGCCTATTGGTGTGGTAATGGTTGCTAAAAATTCTTTAAAAAATCCACGCCTATTGGTGTGGTAATGGTTGCTAAAAATTCTTTAAAAAATCCACGCCTATTGGTGTGGTAATGGTTGCTAAAAATTCTTTAAAAAATCCACGCCTATTGGTGTGGTAATGGTTGCTAAAAATTCTTTAAAAAATCCACGCCTATTGGTGTGGTAATGGTTGCTAAAAATTCTTTAAAAAATCCACGCCTATTGGTGTGGTAAAAAATGGTTGCTAAAAATTCTTTAAAAAATCCACGCCTATTGGTGTGGTAATGGTTGCTAAAAATTCTTTAAAAAATCCACGCCTATTGGTGTGGTAATGGTTGCTAAAAATTCTTTAAAAAATCCACGCCTATTGGTGTGGTAATGGTTGCTAAAAATTCTTTAAAAAATCCACGCCTATTGGTGTGGTAATGGTTGCTAAAAATTCTTTAAAAAATCCACGCCTATTGGTGTGGTAATGGTTGCTAAAAATTCTTTAAAAAATCCACGCCTATTGGTGTGGTAATGGTTGCTAAAAATTCTTTAAAAAATCCACGCCTATTGGTGTGGTAATGGTTGCTAAAAATTCTTTAAAAAATCCACGCCTATTGGTGTGGTAATGGTTGCTAAAAATTCTTTAAAAAATCCACGCCTATTGGTGTGGTAATGGTTGCTAAAAATTCTTTAAAAAATCCACGCCTATTGGTGTGGTAATGGTTGCTAAAAATTCTTTAAAAAATCCACGCCTATTGGTGTGGTAATGGTTGCTAAAAATTCTTTAAAAAATCCACGCCTATTGGTGTGGTAATGGTTGCTAAAAATTCTTTAAAAAATCCACGCCTATTGGTGTGGTAATGGTTGCTAAAAATTCTTTAAAAAATCCACGCCTATTGGTGTGGTAATGGTTGCTAAAAATTCTTTAAAAAATCCACGCCTATTGGTGTGGTAATGGTTGCTAAAAATTCTTTAAAAAATCCACGCCTATTGGTGTGGTAATGGTTGCTAAAAATTCTTTAAAAAATCCACGCCTATTGGTGTGGTAATGGTTGCTAAAAATTCTTTAAAAAATCCACGCCTATTGGTGTGGTAATGGTTGCTAAAAATTCTTTAAAAAATCCACGCCTATTGGTGTGTTAGTCCTCTAAAATGAATATTTAAAAAATCCACGCCTATTGGTGTGGTACTGGTTGCTAAAAATTCTATAAATAATCCACGCCTATTGGTGTGGTAATGGTTGCTAAAAATTCTTTAAAAAATCCACGCCTATTGGTGTGGTAATGGTTGCTAAAAATTCTTTAAAAAATCCACGCCTATTGGTGTGGTAATGGTTGCTAAAAATTCTTTAAAAAATCCACGCCTATTGGTGTGGTAATGGTTGCTAAAAATTCTTTAAAAAATACTCGCCTTTTGGCTGCTAAAAATTCTTTAAAAAATCCACGCCTATTGGTGAGGTAATGGTTGCTCAAATTTCTTTAAAAAATCCTCGCCTTTGGGCTGCTAAAAATTCTTTAAAAAATCCTCGCCTTTAGGCTGCTAAAAATTCTTTAAAAAATCCACGCCTATTGGTGAGGTAATGGTTGCTCAAATTTCTTTAAAAAATCCTCGCCTTTGGGTTGCTAAAAATTCTTTAAAAAATACTCGCCTTTGGGCTGCTAAAAATTCTTTAAAAAATCCACGCCTCTTGGTGAGGTAATGGTTGCTAAAAATTCTTTAAAAAATCCTCGCCTTTGGGCTGCTAAAATTTTTTTAAAAAATTCTCGTCCTTGGTCTGCTAAAAATTCTTTAATAAATCCTCGCCTTTGGGCTGCTAAAAATTTTTTAAAAAATTCTCGTCCTTGGTCTGCTAAAAATTCTTTAAAAAATCCACGCCTATTGGTGAGGTAATGGTTGCTAAAAATTCTTTAAAAAATCCACGCCTATTGGTGAGGTAATAGTTGCTAAAAATTCTTTAAAAAATCCACGCCTATTGGTGAGGTAATAGTTGCTAAAAATTCTTTAAAAAATCCACGCCTATTGGTGAGGTAATAGTTGCTAAAAATTCTTTAAAAAATCCACGCCTATTGGTGAGGTAATAGTTGCTAAAAATTCTTTAAAAAATCCACGCCTATTGGTATGGTAATGGTTGCTAAAAATTCTTTAAAAATCCACGCCTATTGGTATGGTA